TCATCCAGGTTAGTTTAATTCAAGGATGCAAAATCCATGGATACTATGGGATTACTGTACTCAGTTTTGTTTTAGGAACAAACATCTACAAATGGAGAGTGACTAAAATAATGCTACTTTGGTATGGGTCAGTGGGTGCAACTTATACAGTCACAGAACATGTGCTAAGGAAGTATCTGAACACTGAAGTAAAGGGGGCATCTTAAGCAATGCTCTCACATCTCTGGTGGTAAGTGATTATCATTTTCCTTTGATTACAGGTACAACTCTTAATGTGGAATTGAGTTTATATCAGGAAAACTGTTTTGAAATGCTAGTTTCAGAAACATATTAACATGTTTATATAGTTATGTAAAAAACTGTGGCAGAAATAGTTTCAGGGAAATAACAGAGGATGTTGAAGAATGTTAACATTTGAGAAAAGTTTTAGAAAGGTTCTGATTCCCTAAAATATTAACCAATACCAGTCTTGAGAAAGAATTTGAAGACCACATTTTTTTTTAAATTTTATTTATTTATTTTTAGAGAGGGAAGGGAGGGAGAAAGAGAGAGAGAGAGAGACATAATGTGCAGTTGCTGTGGGCCATGGCCTGCAACCTAGGCATGTGCCCTGACTGGGAATCAAACCTGCGATGCTTTGGTTCACAGCCTGCACTCAATCCACTGAGCTATACCAGCCAGGTGAAGATCACATTTAGAGTAGCCCAAGTAGTAAAAATGCACAAGAACTTGTGGTATAATGTTTATACATGGTTCTAATAAATGTTCACTGAGCACATACTCAGCATCAAACATTATTGTAGGTACCTGGGAAACATAACAAAGACTCCTGAGCACAAGCAACTTAAATTCTTCAATGGACAAAGACAGGAAACATAAAAGAAAAAGTGTATGACTATACAGTAAGTTAAATGTGATATAAAGAAATCAAAACACCTAAATATCATCTCTGTCAGGTAGGAGTGAGAATCAAGGTCTAATTCATCCTGAGCAAAATTCCCTTCCAGCTATAAACATGTGAAATCAAAAGTTACATGCTTCCAAAAACAATTGTGGAACAGGCATAAAATAATCATTTTCTTCCCAACAAGGGAAAATGAAAAAAAAAAAAAAGAAGAAGGAATGAGGTGTCCAAAGAAGATTCAAAATCAAGAAAAGCAAACTTCATGAGATCATATGGCTCTTGAATAATCTTTATTAACTTGAAGGTCTTTCCATCAGACCCACTGGGACAGTGGTCGTGTCTCTGCAGCTGCAGTGAACAAGAGTCCTGCCCCCAGCGATTGGCCTGGTGTGAATCCTACACCCAGGGCTCAGTATACATGCACTGGTTGTTTCTGTTAGGTAGAAGTTAGAAAATGCAGGGGCGGGGGAGAGCCAGAGAGGGTCCCCAGTGCCCAAAGAAGAAGCCTTAAAACAACTTACAACTTTGGCCCTGACTGGTGTGGCTCAATGGATTAAGCCCTAGCCTGCAAACCAAGGGATTGCTGGTTTGGCTCCCAGTCAGGGCACATGCCTGGGCTGTAGGCTGTGTCTCCATTTGGGGGGCGCATGAGGGGCAACCACACATTGCTGTTTCTTTTCCTCCCTTCCTCTCTAAAAATAAATAAATAAAAGTCTTGAAAAAAAAAACAACTTACAACTTTGGTTAATTGCCTGCCTCTGGTCACTATGTTTTACAGGGAGGTCCCTAGTACTTACAGAAAGAGACCATAAACAACTTTGTATAACTGCTTCAACTTTAATTAACTGCCTGTCACATATCTGCTTTACAACATGAACAAATATGGTAGAGCAAGATAAGAGTTGGGCTAAGAGACCTCCGCACATACCTACATTTAGATGGTGATGACCCCCCCCCCAGGGAGAAGCTGGCATCATTTATCTACCAATCAATGTGTAACTCCTTCACCCCATCCTGACAACTGTGTAAGTCCTCAGGACAAAGGACCTGATGTCTTGCCACCCTTGCCCTGCCTTGCTTTTTGCCTATGCCCTTCCCCTCCACCTTGGCAAGGCTCGTTCACTTCCAGAGAACGTACTAATAAACCCTGACTGCATACTAACTGACTTGCTAATTCCTTACTGTGTCAGCAAGAACTGAGTTTTTCCCACGATTGTTCCATCCGTAAGACACTGATGTACATGTTGATGGTATGGCTCATTGTGGTGGAAATAGGAAAAATAAATGGATTTTAAATCAGTTTGTAGAGTAATGCAAATTTTTTCTTAAAGATTTTATTTTAGCCCTGGCTGGCATAGCTCAGTGGATTGAGCGTGGGCTGCGAGCCAAAGTGTCACAGGTTTAATTCCCAGTCAGGATACATGCCTGGGTTGCAGGCCATGACCCCTAGCAACCGCACATTGATGTTTCTCTCTCTCTCTTTTTCCCTCCCTTCCCTCTCTAAAAAATAAATAAATAAATAAATAAATAAAATCTTAAAAAAAAAAAGATTTTATTTTTTTTTTAACCTGGCTGAGTAGCTCAGTTGGTTACAGCTTTGTCCTGACATGCCAAGGTTGCGGGTTTGATCCTGTCAGGGAACATACAGAAGTCAACCGATGAATACATCAATAAATGGAACAACAAATTGATGTTTCTCTCTCTCTCCTCCTTCCTCTCACTCTCTAAAATCAATAAAGAAATTAAATTAAAGAAAAAATGTTTTTATTTTTAAGTCAGGAGAATGGAGACAGAGGGAGAATAATGTCGATGGGCTGCTTCTCAGATGCCCCCTAGTGGGAACCTCCACCTTGGAGGTTCCTGCAACCCAGGCATGTGCCCTGACTGGCACTGGAACTGGTGACCTTTGGGTTTGCAGGCCAGCACTCAACCTACTGAGCCATAGTAGCCTAGGCAACAGAAATTTTCTGATTGTAATAGTGAAGGAGAGAAAGGTAGGGGTCAGGGATGACTCCAGGATTTATGGTGTTAGCTGCTGGAAGGATGGAAGCTCTGTCACTGAGATGGGAGGTTAACAGTGAAAGTACTTTTCAGTGGGTATGGTAGCCACATATGATGGCTAGTGGTATAGCCACTGCTCCCAAAATGGACAATAAAGGCCAGAGAAGGGCAAATCTTTACCCCCATCTTACACAAGAAGACTGAGACTGAAAGAGTGGATGCTTTTTGCCTGTTATTGTGGTGATTGTCAGAAGCCAGTTCTCTGAGTGGGGGTGTACAAAAGGCAACTGATCAATGTGTCTCTCACGCATTGATGTTTCTCTCCCTCTTACTCCCTCCCTGCCCCTCTCATTTTTATTTTTTAAAAATGATGAAGATGGCCTGGCTGGTGTGGCTCAGTGGAATGATTGCTGGCGTGCAAACTGAAAAGTTGACAGTTCGATTCCCAGTCAGGGCACATGTCTGGGTTGCAGGCCAGGTCCCCAGTTGGTGGGGGGGCGTGTGAGAGGCAACCTACTGATGTATTTCTTACTCACTGCTGTTTCTCTCTGTCTCCTTCTCCCTCCCTTCTCCTCTCTCTAAAAATAACTAACTAAAATCTCTAAAAAAACAACAAAAAAAAGATAAATTATTCAGGTCCTGGCCAGGTGGCTCAGTTGCTTAGAACATAGTCCGATACAGCAAGGTTGCGAGTTGAATCCTTAGGGCATATACAAGAATCAATCAATAAATGAAAGGTGAAATAACAATAGGTGAAATAACAGATTGATGTTACTCTCTTTCTCTGAATAAAAAAATAAGAAAGTGATTCATCAAGAAGATATCACAATTTTAATGTATATGTACCAAACATAGATGCAGCTAATTATATTTAGCAAATATTAACAGACTGGGCTATAGAAAAGACAGCCCTGGCCTGATGGCTCAGTTCATGGGAGCATCATCCAGTACAACAAAAGGTTGAAGCTTCAGTTCCCGGTCTGGGCACGTACCTAGGTTGTTGCTTTGACCCACAGTTGAGGTGTAAATAGGATGTAAACAATCAATGTTTCTCTTTCAAGTCAATGTTTTTCTGTCTCTCTCCTTGTCCCTCATCTTTCTCTAGGGTCAAGGAACATTTCCTTTGGTGAGGATTAAAAAAAATGACAGCTAACAAGCTCTGACAAGTGTAGTTCAGTAGGCTGGGGATCATCCTGTAAACTGAAACGTCATGAGTTCACTTCACAACAGGACACAGGTCTAGATAGTGGGTTCGGTCCCCGGTTGGTGCACATACAAGAGGCAACTGATCAATGTTACCAATGTTTCACTACACACCAATGTTTCTCTTCTCTTTCTCCCTCCCTTCCCTTCTCTAAAAAAAAAATAAGTAAAATTTTTGAAAAAAGAAAGCCAATGGATTAATAATAGTACAGTCCTATACTAATCTTTCAAGTATGAGTAGAAAATCCAGACAGAAAAACCAGTAAAAAGATATTTGATTTCAACAAGAGGTTTTTTTTATTTGAACACTTTATAGAAAATGGACCTCGTAAATATATATAGGTCACTTTTGTCGATCTATAGAAGAATGTACATTCTCAAGTGGTCAGCAAACATTCTCTAGGAGAAATCCTAGGTTTTGTTAAAACATTTATAAATTAAAAAAAAAAAACACTTAAGTTGAAGAAGACTGAAATTAAATCAATAATTTTATCTGAACGCAAGGGTTTGAAACTAGAAACCAGTAGGAGGATAAAAGCTAGAAAGTTCATAAATATGTGGACATTAAACCATACATTACTGAACAACACATTATTACAGAAAAGTTGAATAAAAAAATAGTGCTGATTGAGGTGGCTCAGTGGGTTTGGTGTCATCCTGTAAACCTAAAGGCCGCACGTTTGATCCCAGTCAAGACACATGCCTGGGTTGCAGGCCTGGTTCAAGGTTAGGAGCGTGAGAGGTAACCAATCAATGTTTCTTTCCTACATTGAAGTTTCTCTTTCTCCCTCCCTTCCCCAGTCTCTAAAAATAAATAAATAAATAAATAAAATATTTTAAAGAAAATAATTAACATTTTTCTAGTATTGAAAACAATCTATTAAGCAAAGAATTCACTTATATTCAAAAATGAGTAACATTCCAATACATATGTTTCTTCATTATCCTACTGTTAAAGCAAAATGACAGTTCATAAAAGGCAAAAGATGAGCAGACAGTTCATCTATATTTATTTGCTATCACATATACAGATAGCAAATAAATATAAGAAACTACTCGTCAACCTGCTCCCACATGTGGACAACTGGATATATGAGAACAAATTCAGATGGATGGCTTCTCGTGGTTTCTTCCAGTGTCACCATACTTAAGAACAAAAGTGCATATTCCCTTGCACATGTAAGTTCTTTCTCCAGTGTAAATTCTGCAGTATAATAAGGTAAACCCTTTAAGGATTTCTTACATTCAAGCAGTTATAAGGCCTTTCTCCTGGGTGAACTATATGGTGGTGAGTAAAGATTTTTGATCTTTGCTATAGGAAGGCCTCATCTTGTGTGAATTCTCAGATAATAACAAACACCAGAGAAAGAGTTAAAACATTTCCTACAATTACCACACCCACAAAACAACTTTCAAATATAAAGTCTATGGTGTTAAGAAAAATGAGATTTATGGCTAAAGGATTTCCTACATTTTTGTACTCACATAAGTTAATCCAGTGGGAACTGCCCCGTGTTAACTGAACTGGGAACTATCCTTAAAGGATTCTGACCATTCTGTTGCAATCATAAGGCCTTTATCTTGTGTGAACTCGCTGGTGTACAAGAAGGTGATTCCTCTGGATGAAAGATTTCCCACACTCACTGCACACATAAGGCCTTTCACCTGTGTGAGTTCTTTGATGTCGAATGAGTGCCGAGCTCCTAGGAAAAGATTTCCCACATTCACTACACTCATAAGGACTTAACCCAGTGTGGACACTTTGATGATAACGGAGGCCAGAGCCAGAGGAAAAAGCTTTCCCACATTCAGTACATTGATAAGGCTTTTCTCCAGTGTGAACTCTCCAGTGTGCAATGAGGTTAGAATTTGATGTAAAAGACTTTCCACACTTAGTACATTCATAAGGCCTTTTGCTTGTATGATTTCTCTGATGATCACGGAGGGCGTACCGAGAGGTAAAGGATTTTCCACATTCACGGCACTCATGAGGCCCTTCTCCACTATGAACTTCCTGATGATAACGAAGTTTCCTCTTAGTTGTAAAAGATACCCCACATACACTGCACTCATAAGGCTTTTCTCCTGTGTGAACTCTCTCATGATTTCTGAGGCTAAAACCAGATACAAAAGATTTCCCACATTCATTGCACTGATAAGGCCTTTCTCCTGTGTGAACTCTCTGGTGTGTAAGAAGGTGATGCCTTCGGAAAAAGGATTTTCCACAGTCGCTGCACTCATAAGGTCTTTCTCCTGTGTGTACTCTCTGATGAGCCCTAAGGTTGGAACCAAATGCAAAAGATCTTCCACACTCACTGCACTGATAAGGCCTTTCTCCAGTGTGAACTCTCTTATGATAATGAAACACAGAGCTAGTAGTAAAACATTTCCCACATTCACTACACTGATAAGGCTTTTCTCCTGTGTGAACTCTCTGGTGCAGAAGAAGGTGATGTCTTTGAATAAAGGATTTTCCACATTCACTGCACTGATAAGGTCTCTCTCCTGTATGTACTCTCTGATGATTACTGAGAATGAAAGCAAATGCAAAAGATTTCCCGCATTCATGGCATTGATAAGGTCTTTCTCCAGTGTGAACTTTCTTATGACAATAAAAGCCAGAGCTAGTGGTAAAACATTTCCCGCATTCATTACACTGATAAGGCCTTTCTCCAGTGTGAACTCTCTGGTGTGTAAGAAGGTGATGCCTTCGGAAATAGGATTTCCCACAGTCACTGCACTGATAAGGCCTTTCTCCTGTGTGTACTCTCTGATGAGCACTGAAATTAGAACCAAATGCAAAAGATTTCCCACATTCACTGCACTGATAAGTCCTTGCTCCGGTGTGAACTTTCTTATGATAATGAAAGACAGAGCTAGTAGTAAAACATTTCCCACATTCACTACACTGATAAGGCTTTTCTCCACAGTGAATTCTCATATGCATAAGAAGGCAAAATTTTTGTCTAAAGACTTTCCCACATTGCATGCACTCATAATGCTGTTCTCCAGAGTGAGTAGTCTGTTGTTTAATAAGGACGGATCTACGGCTACAAGATTGTGCACATTCATGGCACAAGTCATACGTTTTTCCATTATGATTCCTCCTGGAATATAGGAGGACAAATTTTTGGTTAAAGGATTTCCCACATTTGCAGCATGTGTACTGCCTTGCCCCACGATGAATTCTTTGATGCTGACTGAGGGTTGAGTTTTGCCTAGACGACTTGCCATATTTGCTACACACATGATGTCTTTCACCAGTGTGAACCCTCTGGTGAACAACTAATGAGAACTGATACCTGAATGCTTTCCCACATTCATGGCACAAAAAACACTGTCTTCCAGTGTGAACATCCTGTCTTGGAGCATGTGAATTTATGTGGCTGAAGGCTTTTCTATATTCTCCCAGGGTGGAACGAGTTTTTCTCTTTTGTAATGTTGTCCCACTCTGGGTAATTTTGTTGGGCTCCTCCCTGGCCTGAGTAGTCTGCTGCTGTAGATGTTCTGAGGTGGACAGGAAGTGCTTCCCAACTTTGTCACAAGAAAAGGGCTTCTCTGACACATGGAATTGATAGCTCTTCACAAATAAGGTCCTGTCCACACTGCTTCTCAAGGGTTTCTCTCCCAGGTGCTGTTTCTGGTGCGTTTGGAGGTTTGCACTAAAATTAAATTGTTTCATACACACCCCACACCTGAACACTTTTTGGCTGTGCTGTGTTCCTTGGTGCTCAGCCAACTGGAATATGTCTCTCAAGACTGGACCACAAATCTGACAGAAGTGAGTCTTCAGGGAAGAGAGAGCTGCTCTGGAGGTGCTGGCCTGTGACACTCCCACAGAACTACTCTGTTCAAAGAGGGCTTCTACATCTTCTGGTCCAGAGCAGCAACCTGAACATAAATAAATGATGGTGAAGTACATGTTGACTATAAGAATGGAGCAATGTCACCCAGATGTGCATTTGTCACATCTAGGAATGAGTCTTTGGAATGGTTTTCAATCAGGGGAGTTAAAATCTGGTTGATGAAGTGGCTCCTGATATCATTACTACACCAGAGAGAAGATACAAGTGTAATGTATAACACAAAGAAGAGAAGCATGTTTTAAAACTTATTTATCTGCCAAATTTCCTGTAAAACTTTTATGGCTGGTGATGTGAGGCTATGCAGAAGCACTTGTCCAAACCCAGGAAAAACCAACTGCAGTAGAGTAGCTGTCATTCAAGGCCAATGTAAGGATGCACGTTGTGGACTGATGTCACAGAGCAATAAAAGGAGAGATGAGAGAAATGTGTGAGATATGAAGTCCAGAGAGGTGGAGATTCTTTATGGGCTAAAAGTGAGAATAAAGATGACAAAGGACTACAATGGACTAGTCAGCAAAGTGGGCATGACAAAAACACTTGTTAAATGGAAAATGTTTCTACTTATGATCAGAACACAGTCCTAGTTGACACCATATACATTTTCAACATGACTAGATAGCTGAGAGTTCACCTTGCTGCCCTGGCATTGAGATTCTGTACTATATTTGCCATTCTTGACCTCAGCTCACACAGCTGCTCGGTGGTAACATAGCTGGTTCCTCCCCAGAGCCAAAACTGCCACACCTAGGCAGTCCAATGACATTGCAACAAACCCAATGGGGAGACCTTTCTACACCAAGAAAAAAGCAGTTAAAGACAGGAGGGATGACTGATCTGTCAAATGAAAGACATCAGGAAAAGGCTATAAGCAGCACAAAGAATCATGGAACCATGGTATCACCAAAACAGCACCATAAGTTTCCACAAAGTGAAGCCAACAAAGTTCTGGATAAAGAAATCAAAATAACTGTTTTACAGAAGCTCACCAAGGTCCAAGAGAACACAGAGAGACAACTCAGGAAAATCAAGAAAACAATACATGAACACATCAAGTTCAGAGACAAAAAAAATAGTTTTAAAGGAGTTTGAAAAAAAATCAGGACCCCCAAAATACAAAGATGAAATGAAAAATACAATTGAGAACGTCAATGGCAAGTTATTGAAGCAGGAGAACAATCTGTGATGTGACCAAGCATCAGGTCACTGCAAATCATCCAGTCATGGGGGGGAAAAAGACTGGAAAAGACTACATAATTTATGGGATGTCATCAAGGGAAATAATATTGGCAATATGGGAGTGCCATAAGGAGAAGTGAGGGAGAAAGGGTCAGGAAGCTTATTTAAGAAAATAATGCCTGAGCCCTGACCATTGTGTCTCCACTGGTTGGGTGTCATCCTGCAAAGTGAAGTTCACAGGTTTGATTCCATGTGAGGGCACATGCCCAGGTTGGTCGTTTTGTTATTCTTCGGGGCATATAAGAGATGCAACAAATAAATGGTTTTCTCTCACATCACCATTTCTCTCCCTCTCTTCTCTCCCCCTTCCCCCTTTCTCTCTAAAAAAAAAACAAAAAAACAACCCACAAAGTAAATAAATAAATAAATAAATAATGGCCGACAACTTCCCAAATCAGAAGAGATGTTGACATCCAAGTTCATGATGCTCACAGGTCCACAAACAAATTCAAAACAAAAAGATCTTCACTGAGACACTTTATAATGAACCTTTCAAAAATCAAAAACAGAATTTTGAAAGCTGAAAAAAAGAGAAACTCATTGCATACAGAGAGCCTCAATGAAGTACAACTGAATTTATCAGCAGAAACTGCACACCTGGAGAGATGGGTGATACATTTAAAATAGTGAAGAAAAATGCCAAATAAGAATACTTCTGGGAAGCTGTCCTTCCAAAATGTAGAAGAAATAAACACTTCTCTAGGTTAAAAACAGCTCAGAAATTCCATCATGCCTCAGCCTGCCTCACCAGAAATACTAACAAGAGTTATTCAGGTGAAACTTGATAGTGTTCTGGTCAAAGATTTTTTTGGATATGACACCAAAAGTAACAAAGGAAAAGATATGTAAAATAACTGAGTAGACCTGCATCCAAACTAAAATGTTTCTTCACACACATGCACATGTGCATGTGCTCACACACCTTTTGAATACTATTTAGCCTTAATAAAAGAAACTCCCCTGAAATTTAAATAAATAAGTAAAAAGAATTTAACAAAATAAGAAAAATTTTAAAAAGAAAAGAAATCCTGCTGTATGTGACCAGTTGAATGAACCTGGACAACCTTATGCTAAATTAAATAATCCAGTCACAGAAAGATAAATACTGTATATCATTTAGAAGTGGAGTCTAAACAAAAAGAAGTTGAACTCTCCCTGGCTGGTGTGACTCAGTGGACTGAGTGCCAATCTGCAAACCAGTATGTCCGGGGTTTGATTCCCAGGCAGGGCACATGCCTGGGTTGTGGGCCAGGATGCCAGTTGGACGCTTGTGAGAGGCAACAGATTGATGTTTATTTTCCACATCAATGTTTCTCTCCCTCTCTGTCCCCCTCATTATAAAATTTTTAAAAAATATTTGGGAAAAAAGTTGAACACGCAGAATAGTAGAATGAGAGGGTCAGGGAAAGGGGGGCATAGGTAGTTATCAGTCAAAAGGTACAAAACTTCACTTATAAGATGAATAAGTTCTGAGGATCTAATGTAAAAACTTGTAACTCCAATTAATACTATATTTTACACATACAACTTACTAGGAAAGTATATTTTAAGTGCTATTACAAAAAAAAGTGATTATTCCAGGTGAGAAAGTGTTCATTAACTTGATTTCACAATTAATTCACAATATTTACATATAGCAAATAGTCACATTTTATGCCTCAAATATATACCATTTTACATATCAGCAACGCTGGAACAAAAACAGAAAGAAAAGATATCTACAGAAAACTCTAAAAACTGTGCAAAAGAGTCCTGAAAAGAGGCCCATGATTCAGGTAAATAGTTATGATGACAACACCTGAGATTCGTGGCACAGGGAGGCCCTGGGAAATGTCAGTTAAAGAAAGGGATCAAAACAAGTACCAGCCATCTGGACACAGTGATCAGACTAGGGAAGGGCAAGCATGGTGGAATGCATTAGGCTCACTGCAGTCCTTCCCTATGAGAAAAGGGCAGTGCAACCATACAGCCCTAGAAACATAGCAGGCTGCAGAAGAATGCAGGGCCTGAGGTCCACATATTAGAAGGACAAAACACCCTCTGGGGAGAGAAGGGTAAGGCAGAAAGGAGGCTAGTCCACATCAGTGGTAAGACTGTGAGAGTCCTACCCAGAGAGGATGTAAGAACAAAGTTCTCCAGCATCACATCGAGGTACAGGCATCTCTGAGCCTCATCAAGCAGCCTCCATTCCTCCCAGGAGAAGTGCACAGCAACGTCCTCAAAGGTCACACTGGCCTGTCAAGATGGGGACAGAGGAAACCATAAGCTTTGTCTTTCTGAGAATCTCAGTCTACCACCTCACACATCTTCAACCTGTTCATCCTCCTCCAGGGCTCCCCCAATCAGAGGAGATACTAGGTCCTGGTGACAGGGATGTCTGCTCACCTCTTACAGTCCCCTAATGACTGTGCACAGCCCTCAGCAACAGGCAGTGGGGACACACAGACCTCATCCAAGCTGTGGGCCATACCTGCAGGGCCTCCTCCCTCCTGCAGAGCAATTGCCCCAGAGTCTCTCAGACTGTACCTGCTAAACTCAGCAAAGGTGGGCTTCTTCACCTGGTCCCACCCCAGGGCCTTGGAGCCATCAACTCACGCAACCTACACGTGTGCACAACACTGTGTACACCCTACCTTCTAACACTTTGGGTTCCCACAGTCCCACCCCCACAGCTCTGCTACCACCCTGCCCTGCTTCACAGGCAACTCTCTCCACTCACCCAGTGGGCGACTCACGGCACCCAGACAGAGTGCTCGAGAGACTCAAACTCCATCCAGCACAGAGCCATCCTCTGACGGGTCCCACAGCCGGGGAAAGCCCAGTGAGGCGCTGCGGTCCTCCTTGCCGGCCTCTGACCTTCACTTCATTATTAGGCACCCAGAAGGCCATGTAAATTTCAGATACGAATAAGCCCGGTCCCCTCTGCACTGTGCTTGCTGTCCCCTCAGTAGCCACAGCCCTGCTGTCTCCACTCAGCATCCCTCACGTCCCGGACTCCGAGGCCGGGGCTGCAGGACCTGACAGACGCTCGCGCCCGGGGTGCAGAGCTGGGTGAGGTGAGAGGGGAGGACTCCGGGGACGCGCACTCACCTCAGCCAGGTGCCGCAGCGCTGCCGCAGCCATCGGACTCAGTGAGCGGAGCTGGGCGGATGGGGTGCCGAGGACCTCGGTCCGTTTTGTCTCAGGTGCCGGTTACCTTAAGGGGTGGAGCGTCGCAGAGCCTTCCACACTCGTGTGAAGGGACCGCGACTCCTTTTCGCCTCCGAGGTCTGACAACCCTGTCGGATGAAGCTCTTGAGGTAAAAAAAATACTGCCAGAAGAAAGACAACGGAAGTCCCTCCCAATAACTGAAATCTCGGGAAATACTGTGTCCTACTTTTTCGTTAGATCGACTCAGCGCCATGTCTTCTGGGTAATGTAGTTCCCAGGGATCTAGAGGCCTCCCTCAAGGAAGGAGTTCTTTATCCTGGGCTACTAAAATGTTTGCTGTGCTAGGAATTACGCAAAAGTTAAGTATTCTTACCTACAGAGAGAGGCTTTGCTTATTGTTTACTGAAGTCGAAGACATAATTTAATGATTCGTGAAGCTCACCTGCTTGCAGAAAAATTGGAACAACTCTAACAGCATAATCAATAAAATGCAATTTTAAAAAGTATTTGAGATGCTCTCAAATCTGCTGATCTAAATGGGCATATCTATGTATAGAGTCATTCCCTATATCCTTCTATAGCGTCATTCACACATATAAATAGTCCAGGCATAGCTGTGAAGCAGGATAGTGAATAGGAAAGAAGTGTCTGGGACTAGGCTTGCTGACACCCGCAGAGCTGCTCATCCGATTTATCAAGAACCTTGTGCTCTGATAGCTTTTGGCACTTCTGGCTTTTCAACAATGCGCAGCAGAAAGCACCCGTGCCTAAGGACACCAAGTGCCCCAAGTTTCACGCTTTTTCCCTAATATCATTATAATACATTAGCACTGTAGTTTGATGCCCTGGAGTGGGCAGTCAAGAAGAATTATTGGAAAACACATGCAAAGTAACAAAGAAGTTATACAACCACTCGCACATGCAGTGTAAGCCTACACCCTTTTGGTGGAAAGGGGCCATTCTCTGGTCAGAGGTGGCCCACTCAGGTATCTTGGGAAGCGTACTTTTTCTTAATAAATCTCAGTTGCTTCACTTGATTCTGTTTGTGTAGTCCATTCAATTCTTTGTTTGCAACCACCAATAACCTGGACCCCGTGTCCATCTGTAGCACCTGGACACATCGTATTTGTTACGGCTCTTCAAATGCATGTAGTCTGAGATTAATATGTCTTTTGTTGTTTTTTATGATTGGCTAAAAGCAATGGAAATGACTCCATACAGAGCCATGGCTGGGAGGAAAGAAGAGAGATATTCTGAATTAGGTGAACATACAGCAGTAAGTGCTGGAAAAAAGAGAGTTTATGGTAAGGAGCCTTTCTGGGTGTTCTGATCATAAATTCCTAACTGGGCATGGCATGCTGGGTAGTCACACCCTAGGCCTGAAATTTCAGTGAAAGGTTATAGGGCAGCCCAGTTAATTGTTCTTGTCCATCTAGATTAAGACATCTTTGAAACACCAGAAGTAATAATGCTGAAGGAAGCATAAATTCTCAAGGGAGCACACAATTTTGTTAACTTCCCTGTAGTCTAACTCCCACTTTGCTGTCCTCAAACTCCATGTTATTGTCCTTACATTCCCTCCTTAATTTCAACAGCATAAAGAAACTGAAAAACTGTTATTCTAGGAATCAGTTGAGATCTATCTCCCAGGCATATTTCATAATATTCACTCAAATAAACTTTTATAAAAATTCTTGCCATAGTGGCTATGGCTCAGCTGGTTGGAGCATCTTCCAGTAGACCAAAGGTCATGGGTTTGATTCCAGGTCAGGGAATACCCAGGTTGTGGCTTTGATTTCCTGGTCACATCAATGTCTATATCTTCTCTCTCTCTCTTCCTTTCTCTCTCTCTAAGAAGCAATTAAAAAATGTTCTTGGATGAAGATAAAAAACAAATTCTCTATAGCATTGTAATTTCTTATGATGACACATTCTACCTCCAGTTCCCATAGAAGCATCTCTCTTTCCTACAGAGTCAATGCCTACCCATTGAAGAACACTATTGTACATATAATATTTCTTACTCCATATCCTTTTAAAAAAAGATTTTATTTATTCTTAAAGGGAGGGGAAGGGAAGGAGAAAGAGAGGGATAGAAACATCAATGTGTGGTTGCTTCTCACATGCCCACCCCCCACCACTGGGGACCTGGTCTGCAACTTAGGCATGTGCGCTAGACTGGTATTCAAACCAGTGACCCTCTGATTCGCATGCCCATGCTCAGTCCACTGAGTTATGCCAGCCAGGGCCTTACTCCATACTCTTAGATATACAGTTGTTCCTCAGTATCCACCAGAGATTAGTTCAAGGACCCTGCATATACCAAAGTCTGTGGATGTTCAAGTCCCTCATATAAAATGGCATTGGATTTGCATATAGCCTACATATATCTTTCAGTATATTATAATCTTCTATACAACCTATAATATATGATGCAACATAAATTCTACACAGTTTTTTATAATCCTCTATATAAAAACTATTTACATGGAATTTATATTGTATCTTTAAAAAATAATGACTAGAGTCCTGGCTGGTGTGGCTGAGTGAATTGAGTGCCAGCCTGTGAACCCAAGTGTCACCACTTTGATTCCCAGTCTAGGGCACATGCCTGGGTTGTGGGCCAGGTCCCCAGTAGGGAGTGCATGAAAGGCAGCCACACATTGATATTTCTCTCCCTCTGTTTCTCCCTTCCTTCCCCTCTCTAAAAATAAATAAGGTGTTTTAAAAAAATGACTAGAAAAAAGTCTGTGCATGTTCAGTACACACACAACCATGCAACCAAGATAGGCATACCACATAGAACACACATCAGCAACAATGTAACATTTTTAAAGGATATTTTTCATCTAAGGTTGATCCAAAGATGTGAAACCCATGGACATAATGGACTGACTGTACTCAATTTTGTTTAAGGAACAGACATCTATCTCAGATGGAGAGTGACTAAAATCATGCTATTTTGGTATGGGTCAGTGGATGACTATCACAGTCACAGGACATGTGTGAAGGGTGTATCTAAACACTGAGATGAAGAGGGCATCTTAAGCCCATGATCTCATATCCTTGCTGGTACGTGGTTATCATTTTCCACTCATTGCAGGTACAGTTCTTAATGGAGAGTTGAGGTTATATCAGAAGAACTTTTAAATGCAAGTTTCAGAAACATATTAACATGTCTATGCAGTTATTTAAAAACAGTGGCATAAATAGCTCCAGGAAAATACCAGAGGATGTTGAAATAAGTTAACAAGTCTTAGAAGGACTTTTATTCTTGAAAACATTCAGAAATACCAGCATGGCCGTGGCTAGTGTGGCTCAGTGATTGAGCACTAGCCTGTGAGCCAAAATGTCACTGGTTCGACTCCCAGTCAGGGCACATGCCTGGATTGTGGGCCAGGCCCCCACTTGGGGGGCCTGTGAGAAGCAAGCTATCAATTTACCTCTTGCACATTGATGTTTCTTTCCCTTTCCCCACTCCTTTCTCCTCTCTCTAAAAAATAAAAAATGCATAAAATATTTTTAATAATAAATAAATAAATAAAATAAAATCAGTTGCCCTGGCTGGCGTAGCTCAGTGGATTGAGCTCAGGCTGTGAACCAGGCATCGCAGGTTCGATTCTCAGTCAGGGCACATGCCTGGGTTGCAGGCCACGGCCCCCAGCAACCGCACATTGATGTTTCTCTCCCTCTCTCTCTCTCTCTCTCTCTCTCTCTCTTTCTCCCTCCCTTCTCTCTCTAAAAAATAAAATAAATAAAAAGTTGTTTTAAAAAAATAAAAGAAAATCAGTTGATAGCAGATTGTCATGTCCTAGGGCAAAATCTTTCCTAACAAAGTCATACTTTACCTAAACTAAGCCTATCTGTTGTCTTTTCTCACCTAGGATACATTACCTGATAAACATGCTTTTGCAAAAACAAATTAATTTCTCTTTTTTCAGACCCTTCAAAGCAGAGGCACCATACCAGAGATCACAGATCCTTTCATCATCATTGTTATCATGTTATCTGTTGACTATTAACTATTCTCTACCCACCTATGTGAAGGAAGTATATGTCTATCATTTTACTTTTTGTCCAGTCCCAGAGATTTTCCCCTTTGCTTTCCCCCACCTCCATCATCTATCACCAGTGGATTTATGTAACCCACTTCCACCTCTTCCTTTGATTGTAAGGCACATAACTGCCATTCTCTGGAGCAGTTTCTCATTCTGTTGAGGTTTTGCTTCCAGACAACAGTCGTCAGTTTGCCTCAAATAAATTCACTGAAATTCTCCACAGGTTTGAGTGTTACTAATGTTGATAGAAAACCTGAGTGCAATAATTCAGTGGACAGCTAGACCCACAGGCCTGGTACTGTGGGAGGGGCTTTTGGATGGACCCATGTACAAGAGGTACTGGACAGTGTGTGGAGCAGGGGAACTCTTCGTAATATTATTAGTAGGAAATCTGGACATGATGGTCAAGATGGTAATGCTAATAGTCCATCAGGAAGGGAGGGTGGGTGCCGCAAGTGCATGTCTAGCTTGGGCACCTGGTAGAGTTGGGAAGAGAGGATAATTCGGCAGGTGGCTGAGGTTTCTGAGGAATAAATGGACATGCAGGGACAGGTGTAACTGAAGTAAAATTGAGACAGGATACTAAGAAGCTAAGAAAATTCCTGGGAAAGTGGAATGGGAAGACTGAAATAATAACATTAAACAAGGCCAAACTGAGCAATTAATAGCCTGCCGGTGAATGCCAAAACCTTAACTCACTCAGGAGAGAATATGTAACCTCCCTGGCCTTGGGGAAGGCCAAGGGGAAGAGAGAAATTCTAATGCAAAGGGAGAGATACATGGGAATCAGCTTGGGAAGAAACTGCCTGACTCCCTTGTCAGCGCTCCTTCCCAAGAGAAACACCATGACTACACATCTGTACGCCTGCTAGGAAGTTCATGCTCCCAATTTCAGTTTCCCCTAAATAAACTTTCTTCTGAAAGCTCAAGGGAAGGTGGATGTTAGAGTTTTTACCTGCCTCCTTCTCAGACTGCTGGCATCTGACATTAATAAAAGCTCAATTACAATCCAATCACTCTCTGCTTTTTGGCTGAGGCAACATGACCACTGGACTTGGTTGGAGTGTCATCTTGTACACCAAAAGGTTGTGGGTTCAATTCCCAGTTGGGGCACATATGGGAGGCAACCTATCATTTCTCTCTCACATGGATGTCTCTCCCTCCCTCCATCCCTTCCTCTCTCTCTCTAAAATCAATAAACACATGCTTGGGTGAGGATTACAAACAAAACAAAAACATAGACTTTCCACAATTTTTAGAGAAGAGATGGTAAGCTATGGTAACTCTGTATTTATTCCACAAGTTCTTCTGTCCTACTGAGGTCCATGTGGCCTCAATGGCAGATAATGAGCAACGGACAGATGTGTTCATTATCAGGACTATGATGATGGTTTCATAGGTTCGTAAGTTTTGACATTGAGTCAAACTTATCAAATTGTGCACTTTAAATACATGTAGGTAGTACATGTAGCTCAGTGGATTGACTGTCAGCCTGTGAAATCAAAAGGACACCAGTTTGATTCCCAGTTAGGGCACATGCCTGGGTTGCAGGTCAGGTCCCCAGTTGGGGGCTTGCAAGAGGCAAGAGGCAACTGGCAACCAAGAGCAGATCAATGTTTCTCTCCCTTTCTCCTTCCCTTGTCCTCCAAGAAAAATAAATAAATAAAATCTTATTTAAAATGGCTCAAAATGAAAACAAACGTTATGTCCCAATCATTTTGGAAAACAGGCGTGACCACCCTACATTGACTCCACCATCTCTTTCCTTAGGCCCTCTAGGGCTCAGTATTGCCTCGATGGCATCAACTGTGGTGAGTAATGAACATTGTACCTCAGTCCACAAGAATGCTGCCTGTGTCAAGAACCACAACCCCAGAGTACAGGTCCCCGTCTTCTTCTTTCCTGTTGTGTAGTAATGACTTTGAGGCAGACATCACTGAGTAGCTATGGGAATCCACAAAACCTTTTGATTATTTTTGTTTTTTCTCACAGTGATGTCAGCTACACAAGATGACAATGTCTGGGGTTCCTCAGATCTGTGTACACTCATCACACAGTCATGGTCACAGAAATAATTCTGGGTGCACATTTGGAAGAGGCACATTCCACCTAGCTGGCTGCAGTCCCCTCCAATCCCTAATAAACACTCTTTTTGCACCAACTATGGTTTTCCCTGGATCCAGTTTTTCCACTAGTGACTATTGGGGTGGCCAGTGATGTGAGCTGTGAAAGAATTCACGGAGTAGAAAGCACAGAGAGCAAAACTTTTATTTACTTTTCAAGAAGGAAAGGGGCTGGTGGGAAGAGATACACCAGCAGGGAAATGGAGGGGCTTTAAGTTTTTATTCAGTGATAAAGAGAAGGGAGCTATAGCTGGATAGTCATGACAATTAGTTGTAAATCAGCTTTCAGGCTGACTGTGCAGCTTCAGTTTGTATTGCTGTTGTCTTTGTGTTCAGGGTTCAGGTGCTCTGGTCTTGTATGTCTTGTTTGTTTAAGTTTTAAAACATTTGTGTGGGGGATATTTCTCAGTAATCTATTCAGTCCTGATAATAGAGGCTCAGAGAAACAATAGTTAATTACATCTGGCAGACTCAAAGGAAGAGAAGTAGCTAGTGCTGGTAGAGAGCTCTTGAAAGGGGCTTTGTTTTTGTCCTTTCAGTGACTCTAGTCCAATGAATTGTGGATGTCAGGGCACAAGACTTTCTGTAGACCGGGGGAAGATATACTCTCAACAGTGCTAATAACCATGCTACTCTCACAAGTGCCTGAGGTTCTCAACCTGTCTTCTTCTCAGTCATCTTAAAGACTCCTAAAACACAGAGCACCCAAATCAGGGCCAGAAAGCCCTTCAGTCCTTCCTAGGAAGCTGTGGACAGCTATGCAAATTTGGCCAAAATTGGCCAGTTATTTTCTGCCATCATACAGGCCCTCGGTAAGCAGAGAAAGATTAAGACCCCTAAAAAGTTGTTTACCTCTTCATGTTTATAGACTCCAAATCAGTTTATGAAAAGAACAACCAAAATTAAAGAAACTTAAAACAATAAGGCCTTGATTATTGTACAAGTCAAAGCAATGTGCAACTGGCACTTCCCAAGTTCATGAACTAGAAACTGAAAAACCTCATCACAAGTATCACATGAGATGAAAACATCCCTGAAAAATTAGTAATTTCTATGCAAGTGGTACTCACAATATTCTCAGGGTCAACAAACACACAGACACACTTCCATGTACAAATTAAACATATAAGAAAAAGCTAACCCCCTGGAGGCTCCAGTCATTTCTATTTTGCTACAACATTCATGAGACCAGAGGTCAGCTTCCCTGAGCACATTAGGGTGTTGAATGACACAAACTCTGTGGATCTGCCCTGTGACAGAGGTGAAAAGACTTTAGCCATGGAATGTAGCTGCAACATAAACCTAGGAATAGCCATTCAGAAAGTGCAACATATTTACACACACTTCCCATATAAATGAAGTCTATGGGAAATCTCCCCACTATGCATATTCATATGTAAGAGTCTGAATTCAGATGGCTGCTCAAAAATTGCCTCAAGGTTTGTTACACAGAACAGAAACTTGTACAGTCCCAGCACATTGTTTTTCTCCAGTGTGAACTCTCTGATGATAATAAAGTTTAGACCTGGTAATAAAAGATTTCCCACATTCACTGCACTTATAAGGCCTTTCTCCGGTGTGACCTCTCCGGTGTCGACTGAATTGGGCAGTATCCCTAAATGACTTTCCACATTCACCACACTCATAAGGCCTTTCTCCTGTGTGGCCTCGATGATGATAACGGAGGGCAGAGCTACTGGTAAAAGATTTCTCACATTCACTGCACTCATAAGGCCTTTCTCCTGTGTGAACTCTCTGGTGTAGACTTAACTGGAAACTACGCCTAAATGACTTTCCACATTCACTGCACTCATAAGGTCTATCTCCTGTATGGACGCTCTGATGATAATGAAGTTTAGAATTACTGATAAAAGATTTCCCACATTCACCACACTCATAAGGCCTTTCTCCTGTGTGAACTCTCCAGTGTAGATTTAATTGGGAACTACCCCTAAATGACTTCCCACATTCACTGCATTCATAAGGCCTTTCTCCTGTGTGACCTCGCTGATGAAAACGGAGGGCAGAGCTTGTGGCAAAAGATTTCTCACATTCACTGCATTCATAAGGCCTTTCCCCTGTGTGAACTCTCTCATGACAACGGAGGTTAGAAATACAAGCAAAAGATTTTCCACACTGACTGCATTTGTAAGTCCCTGTTCCTGTATGAACTCTCTGATGGTAATAAAGGGTGTGCGGACGGGTAAAGGATTTCCCACATTCATTGCACTCATAGGGCCTTTCTCCAGTGTGCACTCTCTGATGAAAACAAAGGTTTTGGCGGGAGGTAAAAGATTTCCCACATTCATTGCATTCATAAGGCCTTTGGCCTGTGTGAATTTTTTGATGATAACGAAGGCTGTTATTCCGGGTAAAAGATTTGCCACATTCACTGCATTCATAAGGCTTTTTTCCTGTGTGAACTCTCTGATGATAATGGAGAGCAGAGTTAGTGTTAAAAGACTTCCCACATTCCCTGCACTCATTAGGCCTTTCTCCTGTGTGCACTCTCTGATGATAATGAAGGCTTCCTTTCCAGGTGAAACATTTCCCACATTCACTGCACTCATAAGGTCTTTCTCCAGAGTGAAGTCTTTGATGACAACGAAAGTTGTAAATCCTAGTAAAAGATTTCCCACATTCACTACACTCATAAGGCCTTGCTCCTGTGTGAGAGCTTTGATGATAACTGAGAGCAGCAACAGAGATAAAAGATTTTTCACAGTCAGTACACTTATAAGGTTTTTCTCCACTTTGAACTCTCTGAGACTGATTAAACACTGAGCTATGGCTAAATGACTGAGTACATTCAGTACACATGTAATTGTTTTCTGCATTTTCCTGTCCCTTGGGATGAATGAGGACAGATTTGAGGCTTAAGAATTTTCCACATTTGTTGCACCTGAACTGCCTTGCTCCAGTATAAATTTTTTGATGCTCATGGAGGATTGAGGCTTCACTAAACGATTTTCCACTTTCACTATTCACAGGAAAGTTTTTTCCAGTGTGGCCTCTGCAGTGCGTGACAAATGAGGATTTGTACTTGAATGTTTTTCCACATTCACTGCACACAAAACACTGTCTTCCAGTATTAACAGCCTGGTCCTGAATAAGTATGTGTTGAGGGTTAAAGGCTTTCTTGCCTTCCTCTGAGGTGTACTGACTTTTTCTGTTTTGTAACGTTGCTTCCCACTGGGTCCCTGTGTTTGACTCCTTCACTTGGATGTTCTGTTGCTGCTCATTTCCCGAGCTAGCCAGGATGTCCTTCTCAACCTCACCACGGCTAAAGGGCTTCCCTGACACATGGATTCTACAGTTCTTCACAAATGAGGCCCTGTCCACACTACTTCTGAAGGGTTTCTGTCCCATGTGCATGTCCCGGTGTCGGTGACACTTTGCACTGAAATGAAATCGTTTTGCACATGCCCCACACCACAGCATGTTTGGGCTCTGTTGTGTTCCATGTTGCTCAAACAAGCTGAAAATGTCTCTCAAGACTGTCCCACAACCCTCACAGGGGTGGCTCTTCTGGGGAGACGAAGCTGCCTTGGCATTCCTTGTCTGTGACACTTCTACATCCTCTGCTCCACAGCAGCAACCTAAACAAAAATAATGGTGGTGAATTACTTCAACTATAGAGAACAGAGAACTCCATCACACATACTTAGGTGTCACACGTAAGCAAGAATACACAAAATGTTCTTCAAAATGAGAAAGTTCAGTTGAAGAACTGGCTCACTGTTGTATGGTACTGGGCTTCTAAGTAACAAAATAATGGAAACTCCACCAGGGGAAGGATACTCCAACAGGACATGACACATGGAAGAGAAGCAGGGCTTACAATGCATTTCCTCTGCCAACAGCTTCCTGCACATCCTCCTCTGCTGCTGACGTGAGGCTGGTAGCAGCATGTACACAAGTTCATTACTATCCAATTGCAAGATATTAGCTGCTAAGGTCAATACACAGATTTGTGAACATCTCAGAGCACAACACAAGTGTCAATGTTGAAGAGTACTATAGAAAGAGGGGTGAGGGAAGGGGTAAAATGTGGGATCAATGGAGATGGAAATATCCCCGGGATGGAAATCACAATGGAAGTGACCAGTAGTAGAACTGAGAGGTTGACAAAGTATCTAAGCAGGAAAAGAAAGTATAGAATGGTGTGGCTACTGGCAATGACATGAAAACTCTGGTTGAACAAAGACAGGTTCCTGGTATGATTTGAACAAGGTCCTCACTCACAATCTCCACAGCTGTCACTCACCAGGACCACACCCCCTGTCAGCACACTTTGCCGTGGCTGAGGAAATACCCATCCTGTGGCACTTCCCCAAAAGGCCTAGCAGAGTAGCTAAACAGAACATAAATGATACAAGGAAAAATCAGAAAGACTGAATGGCCAGGAATGTGTCAGAGCAACACAGCCTACAATGTACCCAGAAAATAAATCTAAGTGAGTCACATCAGCATGATGGTGAAAGAAACTAGCCTTTGTTACCAACAACGAAATACTAACACAGTTATCTACAAACAAAATTGATCCTTCAATGGCTTAATAGTATGATTAAGATAGAACTGCAGCTCTGACTGGTGTGGTCGAGTACACTGAGTGGTGGCCTTTGGACCAAAAGGTCTTTGGTTTGATTCCCAGTCAGGGCACATGACTGTGTTGAGGGCCAGGTCCCCAGTTGGTGGCGTGCGAGAGGCAACCATCGATACACCTCTCACACATTGATGTTTCTCTCCCTTTCTTTCTCCCTCCCTTCCCCTCTCTCTAAAAATAATAAAAATAAAAAATATAAAACTGCAACATAATGCAGGGGGAGAAAGAGCAATAACCACACAAATAAAAAATAATAAGGCTTTGGTCAAGACTCTCGGTTGTTTAGATTATCAGACAGATATGCCAGACTTGTGAGTTTCATAACTGGTCAGGGCACGTATAAGAAGCAACCAATGGAAAAAAAAAAAAAAGAAGCAACCAATGAATGCATAAAAAAGTGGAACAATACATCTATGTTTTTTCTCTCTCTCTCTTACTCTCTTGCTCTAAAAGAAATCAATAAATAAATACCATTAGGTATGGAAGGTATATACTTCAATATCAAAAGGGCCATACATGATAACTCACAGCTACCAGCACATTCACCAGTGACAAGGTAAACACTTTTTCTCTTAAAATAAATTTAAAAAAATTCAACTAATAAAACTCTTCATAAACAACTGTAAAAAAACAAACAAACAAAAACCACTTTTTCTCTAAGATCGGGAACAAGTGAAGGATGCACACCCTAACCATGGCTTTTCAAAATAGTACTGGATGTTCTAGCTCAAACAAGAAGGCAGGAAAGAGAAATGAGACTCTCAAAATTTAAAAACAGTAAAACTTCCAGTATTTACAGTGACATGATCTCATATAAAGGGAATCCTAAAACCTCCACCCCCACCCAAACACACACATGCTAGAATGAATAAGCCTGGTAAATTTGTAGAACCCAAACCACATACAAAAATCAGCTGATCTGTGCACTAACAACAAAGTAACTAAGAAATTAAGAAATCAATCTCATTTACCAAATAAGATTAAAAACAGTAAAACACTTAGGAACAGAGTTCATCAACAAGGTGAGTGATCTGGACTCTAAAACCTATAAGACAGTGATGAAAGAAACTAAGAAAAGTAACAAATTAATAAAAAGACATCCTATGTCCTTGGATTGGAAGAATTATTAAATTATCTCTAATTGGAGCAACCTAATGATTCAATGCAACCTTTACCAAAATCCAATGGCATTTTTGCCAGAAATAAACAAAGAATCCTAAAATTCAAACCACAAATGATCTGTATAGTCAAAGCAATTTTGAGCAAGATGATCAAATGGTAGAGTCAGAGGTATCATACTTCATGACTTAAACCATATTATAAAAATAACAGTAATCAAAACAGACACAAATTAGACACACAGACCTAAGAAAGAGAATATAGACAGCACAGAAATAAACTCACATATGTGGTCAACTACTCTTTGACAAGCACATCAACAACACGCCGCAATAAGGAAAGGGTTGGTTCTGCAATAAATGGTGTTGACAAAACCAGATATGCTCCTGCAAGGAAAGACGCTAGATTCCTACCTTACCCTACTCACAAAAATTAACTCAAAATGCATCAAAATCTTAAATGTAACAGATAAAAATGTAAAACTCCTTGGAAAAACAAAAGGCTTCTTGACATAGGTTTTGGCAGTGATTTTTTTGATGAAACAAAAGCAGACAACAAAGGCAAAAATAAATAAACCAGACCACATCAAACTAAACAGCTCCTGCATAGCAAAGAAAGCAATCAATAAAATGAAAGAGAGAAAATATTTGTAAATATTGTCTCATGAGGGCAATTATCTAAAATATATAAGATGCCCATCCAACTCAATAGTAAAAAAAGTAATAATAATAATCCAATTAAAAAATAGGCAAAGAACCTGAATAAATATTTTTGGATCTGAATAAAGATCCAAAAATGGACAGCCATTGCAGTACCTTGAACTCCATAGTGACGGTGCCAGGGCAAGTGTGAGCCAAGCAGGCACTTGGAAGACAGTGTGCTTGCTGAGGAAAAGTAATTAAACTTGGGCAAAGGAGATCCTAAGAAGCCAAGACAAAAAACATCAACATGTGCTTTCTTCATGCAAACTCGCCACGAGGAACACAAGAGTTTCAGTCAACTTCTCAGAGTTTTCAAAGAAGTGCTCAGAGAGGTGGAAGACCATGTCCACCAAAGAGGAAGGAAATTTGAAGACATGCCGAAGGCAGACAAGGCCCGTTATGAAAAGAAATCAGACCTTATATCCCTCCTAAAGGGGAAACAAAGAAGGAATTCAAGAATTCCAATGTCCCCAAAAGCTTCCTTCTGCCTTCTTGTTTTGCTCTGAGTACAAAATCAAAGGAGAGAATCCTGACCTGTCCGTTGGTGATGCTGCAGAGAAGCTGGGAGAGATGTGGAGTAATACTGCCACAGGTGGCAAGCAGCCTTACTAAAACTAAGGTGGCCAAGCTGAAGATGAAATACAAAAAGAATATTGCTCCAGACTGAGCTAAAAAAAACCTGAGGCGGTGAAAAGGAAGTCACCAAGACTGAAAAAAGCAAGAAAAATATGGAAAAGGAAGATGAGGAAGATAAAGGAGATGAGGAGAAGATGATAACGGTGAAGAAATTGGTTCTAGAGCAGTTAATTTTTCAGGTTTATAAAGCATTTAACATCCCTGTACACAATTGACTCTTTTTAAGGAAAAAAAAATTGAAATGTAGAGCTGTGTAAGATTTGTTTTTAAACTATACACTGTCTATTTTTGTATAGTTAACACACTACTGAATATGTCTTTAGATAGCCCTGTCCTGGTGGGGTTTTCTTAATGAAATCTTAATTTTTTTAAAGATTTTATTTATTTTTATAGACAGAAGGGAAGGGAGGGAAAAAGAGAGGGAGACAAAGAAACATCAACATGTGATTGCCTTTCACCCAACCCCTGTGGGGGACCTGGACTGCAACGCAGGCATGTGTCCTGACGGGGAATTGAACCAGCATTCTGGTGGTATTTTTAATAGCCATTATCCTTGTCTGATACAACATGGGGGTTGTAAATTGGCATGGACATTTGAAGCAGGTACTTCTTGGTGCACTGCACTAATAGGTTATACATGGGGATGGTAGTGTTTTCATCTTCAGGTGTTTCTGAGGTACCTTAGAAGAAATAATTGTTTTGTTAATGGATAGAACTCTGTAATTGCAAAAAAAAAGTTGCAGATGTTTCACTGACATTCTGAATGCTTCTAAAAAATACAACTTTTACATAAAAATCTAAAAAGGAATCTAAAAATGGTCAAACTATATAAAATATGTTCTTCCTCACTAATAAACAGAAAAATGCAATCAAAGCTACAATAATATTACCTCTCACCTGACAAATGGCTACTATCAAGAACAGAGGTAAGTGTTGGTGCAGGTGCATATATAAAGAAATGTGTGTATACTACAGTTGAAATGTAAAAAATAAACAACCAAAGAATGCTAAGAAACACGCCAAAATTATAGAAAAAGAATAAAATGCCAGGATCTGTGATGTAGGGGAAAATGGGAACCTGTCAGTCAAAGGTACAAATATTCTTTTATGAGTTCTGAGGATACATTTATGAGCATGGTAACTATAGATAATAATGTTATATAGTTGAAATTCACTAAGAGTAGACCTTAAACATTCTTTTTTTAAAAGATTTTATTTATTTATTTTTTAGAGAGGGAAGAGAGGGAGAAAGAGAGAGAGAGAAACATGAATGTGCGGTTGCTGGGGGTCATGGCCTGCAACCTAGGCATGTACCCTGACTGGGAATCGAGCCTGCAACACTTTGGTTCGCAGCCCGAGCTCAATCCACTGAGCTACGCCAGCCAGGGCCACCTTAAACATTCTTAGTATTAAAAAATAATGAGGTAGACCTCACCACATGACACAGTTTGTTTGGGCATCATACCATACACCACAAAGTTGCAAATTCAATTCCTGGTCAGTTTGTGGGTTCGATCCCTGGTTGAAGCAAATACAGGGGGCAACAGACTGATGATTATCTCACACTGACATTTCTCTCTCTCTGTCCCTTCCCCTTGCATTAAAATCACTAAACAATATTTCCTTGGGTAAGGATTAAAAAAACTAATAATAGTAAGAAATAATAATAAGTTAACTTTAGATGGTGATTATTAACCTTATTTTAACTTCACAGTGGTAATTATCTCACTATATATTTAAATTGAGCACATGGTACACTTTAATATATACAAGTTTATATCTCAACAAGGCTTAAAAAAAAAGGAAAACAGATTTAAACACTACATACTGTGCAAGTGTTAAAAGGAAGCTCCTGGTTCAATTAAGTAATGACCATGAAAACACCTGCAACTCCTGACCCAGGTAGGCAGGAGGAAATGACAGCTAAAAGAAGAACTCAAACCCTGGGATGCAGATGTGATGCGGATCTGGACACATTAACCCAGACACTGACAGGCCAAGTACTGTGAATCCACCAAGCTCAATGTAATAGTACTGACCTTGAATCCTTCCCTAAAAGGGTTCAGGACTGGGACTTCAGGGAGAGATGAGGGCAGTGCAAACACACCAGCCCTAGCAATACAGCAACTACCCAGAAAACTGGGGCAGAAAGCAGTGCCCGTGGTCCACACCTGAGCACTGAGAAAGGTCTTGGGGTAGATGGAGTAGAGTCTAGTCCGAGTCACTGGTGAGGCCGTGGGTCTTACCCAGAGAGGATATAAGTGAAAAGTTCTCCAGCATCACACGGAGGTACAGGCGTCTCTGAGCCTCATCAAGCAGCTTCCATTCCTCCCAGGAGAAGTGCACAGCAACATCCTCAAAGGTCACACTGGCCTGTTATCATGGGGACAGAAAAAAACATGAACATTCTGTGTGTGAGACCCACAACCCACCTCCCCGCACATCTACCCCACACCCAACCTTCTCTAAAGCTGCACACCTCAGAGGAATTCCACTGATGTCTGTCCCACCATCAGATCCCTTTTTATTCATTATTGTTCAGCCCTCAGCCTTATCAGGCAGGAAGGCAAAGAGATATAATCCAGTTCTGGTCCTGGCTTGTAGGGTCCCATCCACCCTGTCATTAATTTCCTTGGGAGTGTCTAGATTGTAACAGACACAGTCAAGTGCAGGCTCATGCTTCACCCTTCAGTGGCAAACACTAGGGTCCTCAGACAGTAATTCACACCACCTTTTTTTCAATAAGCACATCATTCTGTAGATTGTCCCTCTGACACCTTCAGTCCACCTGAGTTCCCACAGATATGCATTTGTGGAGAGGCTGCTTTGAAGGCCTCCTCTATACATCTGGCCCCTGCTTCAGTATTTGCCTCCCAGAAGCACATGTGAACTCCAGATGCCCATGACCCCCTTCCAGTGGTGTGCTGTACTCAGCAGCCACATAGGACTCTCTCCACTTTAAAACCCCAGTTCTGATGGTCTCCATGCCAGGCCCAGTGACACTAAAAAATGACTACATTTGCCCCAGACCTTAGAACCAACAAGCCTGTGACACCCTCCCGCTCACGCCAGTGATTGCCGTTAGTTTGTCACAAACAAACCCACCAACAATTCTACACGGGTTTGAAGTCTCTTTTGCTGACACTGGCTTTTCTGGTTTCCCTCCCTTAAAACCCCAGTTTTGAGCCGATTCACCACACCATTTACCTTACAGGAGAAACTCTCTATGGTCTCCATGGAGATGTCTCCATTGCCAGGCCCAGTGACACTCAAAACTGACCACATTTGCCCCTGACCTTAGCCACCAGCAACTGAGACAACAAACCCCATCACAGCACAGCACACACATAGGGTGGATCCTGCCCTAGTGAACAAGCAGAAGCTTTGCCCTCAGTGACACCTCACCTCAGTTACTTCCCTGCTTCCAGAACCATCACGTCCACTCGTCCCATTGAAGCTTTCCTCACCTGCCACACGGTTACCATGACCACCTCCATCCTTCACTTGTATTTCTGTGCGCAGCACCCTCATGTGGAGCATAGCAAGAAAAAACTCATCCCGCACCCTGCTCTTTCTGACCAAATAGCAACACCCGCAGGAGGGCCTGTATTCCGCCACCTAAACGCTGACCAACAGGGCCTGGCTGCAGGACCTGACTGGCGCCTCACACCCGGGTTGCAGGGCTAAGTGTAGTGAGGGAGCTGGTCACGGGAGGCGTGCACTCACCTCAGCAGGACGTCTCAGCTTGGCCGCTGCCATCAGACTGCGTGCGCGGAGATTGGCGGGAGAGTTTGCAGTGGACCAGGGGCGGGAGAGGTCCACTGATTCACAGCCTGTATGCCTCGCCTCACAACCTCAATAATGGCCACCAGTAAGGGAGCCCCGGAAGTCCCGCCCCAATGGAGTGAATCTCACGGAAATTTCATCCTCATCTGTAATTGCCCCAACTCACCACAGGATTTTATGGGTAGTGTAGTTTCCAGAGCTCTATATGCCACAGGGAAGGGAGTTCTCCAACCTGAGCAACTAGGATGTTTGCACTGGGAGGATCCTTGAAAGCACTGCTGGTACCTGGGGAGAAGGTCTTTGCTTGTTGTTAATTGCACCAAAAACTCAATTGTGACACTATCTACCTCAAGATATGTTCAGGGCTCAGTCCCACAACACGGTCGCACGCCCCACCCCCACCCTCCATCAGATAGCAATTGCAAGTGCAGGTGTTATCTGTGCTTCAGAACCACAGGGTTATTTTATTTTATTTGTTATTTGAAAAACCTTCACACAAGGATAATTTTATTAATTTCTTAGAGAGAGAGGATTGGAGAGAGAGAAATATCAATCAGTTGCTTCCCGGATGTGCCTTGACTGAGGATCAAACTTGCAACGAAGGTAAGTACCCTGACTGGGGACCAAATGCCCAACCTCTGGATATAGGAAACAATGATACATCCAAGTGAGCTATCCAGCCAGGGCACAGCAAGATGTTTTTAAACAGAAAACCACCAGTCAGCCCTGGCTGGTTACATAGTTGGTTGGAACATCATCCTAATATGCCAAAATTGCAGGTTCAGTCCCCAGTCAGGGAAAATAAAAGAATCAGTCAATGGATGCATAAATAAGAAGAACAACAAATCGAGGATTCTCTCTCTCTCTCAAGAATCAATAAATAATAATAAAAAGAAAACCACAGGCACAAATGGCATCACTCATGCTACAAAACTTAGTCTAATACCTGATACTGTTGTATTTTCAACCTGTTCCAGAAACATAATTCTTTAAAAACATTTTCCAAGAAACATAATCTTTTTTGTTGTTGTTCCTTCGACCAACATTAATACCTTTTTGTAGTTTGTTCACAGCATACCACTTCCAGAAATAATCTCTGGTCTCCATGGAAACACAGTCATTGCAGTTACAAGAGCAATGCTCATTATTTCCCAGCGAGGACATTACATGGTTGAACCCCAAACCATTATCTCAGGTTCAGATGCCCACTTTCCAAACCTTCATGGATGCAAAAATGGCAGCATGTTGACATCAAACTTAAATTTGCTCCATAACATATTCCCAGGTACATGTCACAATCTTTTAAAAAGTAAGACCATATGGAGAATATTCAGTAATAAAGGCAATGGACAAAAACATTTTTTTTTTGGAGTTGGAACAAAATAGAGAGCCAGGTGGAATATGTTGTGAGGAACTAAAAGGCATGGTGACACCTCATCCACTTCCTTTAGGGCTGCATAATATCTCCCCCTCCATGTGTCCTCTACCCCTGTCTGCAATGTTCTTGGTCTGATCAGAGAGTGAATACACTAGGCGTCCTGATGTTCACTCTGAAAACTTTGTTCCCCATGAAATGAAGAGCATGAAGATAAAGAGTTTTATTTAGTGTCTGAGTGAACCTTAGTGTCTTTACAACAATTCTTGGATGTGCATATTTGACATTTTCAAAGTGGAAGTTACAAATGGAGTATGTTTTACTATCATGTCTTTCATGAAGGTGGTTGTTAAAGTTTATGGATTTAGTGAAACCATGACATTCTTTAAAAACATGCCAATAAAATATTGTATAATACAAATAGCAAGATAATCAGGCCTGTAAAGAATCTCCAAGCTAAAGGATGGTGGCCATATTATAATTCAATGTGTGGAGTTTGAACTGTGCTTGTAACTAATCTGATACCCAGTCTGTGCTTAGGGGAAATGAGCTGTGAGCATGGTTATTATTCTCTGTAAAATGACCTGTATTTAAAAATTTTGGAATTTCTGGCCAAGATGGAGGCGTAGGGAGACACACTGCACCTTCATGCACAACCAAAAGAAGGATAACAGCAAATTTAAAAACAAAAAATCCCAGAACTGACAGAAAATCAAACTGTATGGAGGTCCAACAACCAAAAAGTTAAAGAAGAAATATTCATCCAGACCAGTAGGAGGGGCAGAGACAGGAAGCTGGGTAGAGAGGACTCACAGAAAGGCAGCAGCTGGCTGGCAGACTGGGCAGTCCGACATTTGTGTGTAGATAAACTGGGAGGAACAACTGGGGAGTGAGACAGATCTCGAAACCTGGGGTTCCAGTGCACTGAAATATAGCCTCAAACCTCTGACTGACAACACATGTGGGTGTTGAGGCGGCAGCGGGACAAACTCCCAGTCTCACAGGAGAGTTCATTGGAGAGACCCACAGGGTCCTAGAAAATGCATGAACCCATCCACCTGGGAATAAGCACCAGAAGGGCCCAATTTGATTGTGGGGTTGTGGCAGGAAAAGAAACTGCTCGCTGTAACACTTGCAAGTTTTGTCGGGACAAAAGCTGAGTAAAAGTTATTTTTAGGTAAGGAGCGGCTAGCAAGACGTTGCTCTGTAACGTTATCTGAAGGTCACTAACCTTGCTCCAGCTTCTGAATGCTTGCTCTCAGCAGCTCGTTGCCCCTCCCTTTCTGCCTGTGTAACTGGTATATAAAAAGGACCCCTACCCCAGCCTTTTTGGCTCAGGATTTGGGAATTAACCCCCCCTTGAGCCCCTCACGTAATAAAGTTTGTGCTTCATTATCTTCCTGAGTGTGGGTGGATTTTCCACAACATTTTGTTGCATTGGCCGGAAAACCCCTCACGCGAGCAGGTATTTTGCCTCCAGTGAAAGCGACCGGGGGAGTCGGTGGGGGAGCCCTGCCGCAGGGGAGGAGCACGTGCCCTGGTGATTCCAGGCTTCCCCAGGGCAGAGACTCCCCGTGCTGACCGCTCTAACACCCGGGCGGAGGGGAGAGACGAAGCACAAACTGTCGGAGGCGCCAATCAGGAATCGGTGAGCCCCGGGGACTGGACTCGACTACCAGAGAGAGGCTGATTACCTCTCAACTGGAAAATTCAGGAGTCTGGGCCAAGACCCAGACCATCGGACTTCTACTTGGGGGAGAACTGTGTGACTGTGTGTGAATGTATTTGTAACTCTATGGGCCGGCCAGGCTTACGGAGTCTGATTGGGCCCCTCACCTGCGGCGGGTGTGTGAAAGATCCCCTTTTCCTTTGTTTGTCTGCATCAGTTGGGAGAATTCATCATGGGTTGGGGGGGGCGGTTCTGCCACAGTACTATATTGCATGTATGTGGGTGCGCCGCCATTTTGGATAAAGTGGGGGACGAGCCACGTGAGTGCCCCCCCCCCGGGTGGAGGTGCATGGTTGTCGTCATCTTGGATGATGGGTCACGTGAGAGCCCCTCCATCTTGGAACTGGGCAAGGCGCCAGGCTAAGGGCTCTCTCCAGACTGCATCTGTCTGGTTCTCTGTGTAACTGGTTCTGATAAGAATGGCTCTGAAGGACATGTACTGAGGTTTAAGGAAAACATCTGGCCTGTAGGGTGTTTCCAGGGTCTGAGCTTCAGAAAACTGCAGCATGTCCCTACAAATCTAGGGAATTTTAGTGAAAGGTACCTGCAGTGTCAGGAACTTTCGGCTGTCCTTCCCAGAGTGGGAAAGGAACCAGGATTAAAAGAATAATGGTTAAATCTGAATGAGTAAAATTATGTATAAAGAATGTAAAGTTTTAAACCTGGAGTAAAGGAAACCTCAACTATTCGTTTTCTGGTTTTGTGGGAAAAGAACAGTGTTGTTTCTGATCAAAAACCCTCTGTACTTAAAATCTGTTTAAGGTTGCGTGTAACCGGTTGGGGAGGATGCCTTTGCCACTCAGGACCCAGGAAGGGTCATTTGGGGCTGATAAGTGCTTCAACCAGAAGCAAAGCAGCATGTCTCTGCCAAAAGACCGGGCCTGAAGGAGCATGTCTCTGTGCGAGAGAATGCCCCTGTGTACTGTTCTGGAAACTCTGTGTTTTGGATTTTGCTCTGCATCTACTCTAAAAAGGAAATTAAGGATTCCAGGGAAGGTCAAAACTTCACATTCTGTAGAAAAGTAAATAATTTATATATATATATGAAGAAGGTCTGTGGGAAACCGTAAAGATAAATGAAAAAGTAAAAGTTTTAAAAGGAATTATGTGGTGTTAGTTAATAATAAAAGGTATAAGACATTGAAATACACTCTTGGTGGATATCAGAAAATGTAAGAAAAAATTAAAAGGGTTGTAAATGTTGCAAAAAGTCTGTAGAAGTAAAGGTTTTAAGAAGCCCGGTAAATATCAGAAGGGAAAAGATTTTCCTTCAGGCTTTGTATTTTTCTCCCTACCTGATCCCTCCAGAATTTGGCATTCTAAAGGAGTAAGTAAAAACATAAGGTTTCTTTGCATAAGACGAATAAGACCAGTAGTTAATAGTGGTTTTGTTAACCAAGACTTTGATTGGAACGTCATGTCTGATAGAGGCATGTATGGGTTCTGGTCATCACCAGAAAGCCCTGAGGAACTGGGATTGACTTGTGAAGCTAGTGTAAGCCCACGAAAAAGCCTGGTACTTTGGTTGGTTGTGCAGTTCATGGCAGTCTTTCCAGGGAAGGAACGAAGGTTGCTTTGATGAAAGATGGCTAAAAAGGAACCTGTGGGCACAATGAAAACCTCAAGGATCTGAGTGAAACAACTGGTACAGGCGAAGCCATATGGCGGATGTGTGGCTCTGCTTCTGTGCCTTGAGGGGTGGACTAGGAAGTCAATCTGAAGGTTCCCTGTGTGAGTTCCAGCAAAGCAGAATTAAAAATCATAAGTAATCCAGGCTGTTCTTGGTGTGTTTTTGCAAATGAACAGTCAAAATGAAAAAACAGAACTCAAAGTAGTCCCTTTAATAACAGTGAGGGTGATCTTAAGGAGAAAAATTATGGTTCAAGGAAAATCACTGTGCTCAGTATTAAACATCAGAATAACGCAGCTGTCTTAAAAGTCTGTTTTCATTTGAAGGTTAAAACTGGTTTTGTA